AATGTGAAACAAAAATGGAACGAAAAAAATTGTGACACTATGAAACAAAAGATTACGTTTAATGAATTAAAGAAAAATATTCTAGGCCACATTTATGGCACAGATAGAAATAGTAGAGAAGTTCTCACTATGGATTTTACCAGCTAGACAAGAGCCTGGAAAGAGATGATAAAATTTCTAGAAAAAACTTTACATAACAGCGCATCCTAGCATAAGACGGTTTCAGAGTGTAAACCCGACATACGTGATGTTAAGAAGTCTCTTCATCGTTTGTGATCTTATTCAGAAATAATAGACGTATACATGCAGACACAAGTGAATACTTTTTTCGGGACTCAGCTTCCTACCGGAAAAAATTGCTTTTCAGTTATTATCCACTTCACTTCATTGAAACTACGAATTGTGGCAAAAATCCAAGAGAGAAACAATGACCTAATTCGGAGATTTCACACAAATCTCGAAAAGTCTAACGGATAGAATGAATAATGAAAATAATGTCATTTTCTATACTCTAAATGGCCAAAACTAGACAAGCATGAGTTTTTTGCCTTTTTATTTCCAAAATATACTTAAGAATGGTCGAAACTAACTGTAGCTTTCCTTTTCATAACAGACAACTAATCTAATAACTAAATTGGTCAAAGATTGACGCTGACTATAATGTTGCACATAACGTCTTCTATTTCTTTAGGAGAAGCTATTCAATAGCATGGCAAATGTTGATGTTCAAAATGTTTATTGTATATGAATTTATCTGTATAATAAATACGAACCACATCACGGCTTTATTTCGCAATTTATTCAAAATTTTGCGCTAGAAATTAAAGTGACATTCCAATCGAACGATTTCATTGACCGACTAGTGGCATTTTCAATCATGTTTCTAATGATTAACAATTCTTATGTAGTTAGTATCTACATAGGCTATTCTTCCTTGAGCTGATATACGAGTTTTTCGTCCAGTAGACATAAGATTGAGTCATTTCTTGTTAATAACAGTATACTCTGTTTATCCTTCATATTCTATACATGTACTTAATGAATGTTATTCAGTTATCTCATTCAAAGAAATATATTCTGTGACAATCTACTCAATTTCTTCTTTTCAAATATCCCCAATAACTTTAGCCGTATTACTTAGCAATGATTGTGTAAAGTTGTGAATGAAAATGAAACAATCCACGATACACATTCAAATAAAGAAGAAGAAAAAAAGGATCAATCCAAACACACGTGACGCATACTACAGAAGGAGAAGAAAACAGCTAAGATAATACAAAAAGAAAACATGTACGCTATGTTGACGATTGAATATTTCTACGGATTTAATTCTATCTCTAAAATTTGCGACGATAACTTTATCAATCAAAATGATGCCAATTGCTCTAGATCCAGTTTTTTACGGGCTTTAATCTGGTATAAAATTCATAAGGTATTCAACTTAAAATCATCGTGCTACTCCCCTAGCAAAACGTTATGCACAACCCGGTAATGTTACAATTTTTGTCAAAATTATTATCCTTTCATATGGATGTTGTTAACGAAAGTACAATTGCTGTAGCTGATAATCAAATGAATGTTTTCATCTATAATCTTTACAATCGACAGTTGTCTATGACGTTGAATTTACGAAAAATGTTTCCTGATTATTCACGCATGTCGGAACAAATAGTAAATAATTTACGAGCTAATGATTAGTATCTATATGTAACGAGTTCAATCAATGTTGAACCATTTGATAAACAGTATTTATTTCGTATTTGTCTCAATGATACAATAAAAGGTGTTGATTTACTTCCATTCTCGGATGAAAACTATGGACAATTGATAACATTCTAAGAACATCATTAACATTTGATTTTTAATATTATGCAGTTTGCTTTTCTACTGTTGATTAATAAAACTATATACAATTGTGAATAATGCAAATGTAATGATAAAACCGTAAATATCTTTTATTATCGATGATGATTCAATGCTTCTGCATCCAAACTTCATTGAAAAGGACACAATTTAAATACTGAACTTAAGAGTAGAAAATTTCAATTGAATTCAAGCATTACACTATTGTCTTTGAAAAGAGAAAATTTTATATTTTTGAAAAATGTATGAATCTATCTCAAGATGAATATTCTATTTCACAAAATTGTTGCATCCGATCAAATAAAGGATTTTTTGAAAATTGACATTGTGTATGCGACAAACATTCATATGCACAATAACATGCAGCATTTATACAGTCATCAATCGATCTATTCAAAGAACAAAATGCTAAAAATCCTAAATAGAAATGTATTTACGAACAGAAAATAAATTGTTGTATATCTACCTCCAACAAACGCATCACCACATCCGATAGTATCGACGATTTTCGATGGACGTTTAACAGCAAATGTTTTCAAACCATGGTCTATACAATGGTCAATGTAGAAAATCGATTTTTTTAATTTTGTTTATTCATCTTACTCGATGCTAAAATAATTGGATGAGAACTACGAGTTACTATCATGCATGTGTTGCTATTCTTTATCAACAATTTTTGTAATTCTCTAGCGATGAATAATATATCATCATTTGTCTAAATTAGATATTCTTTTCTGTTGTTGAAAATCAATCGAGTAGAAATTGCATACATACAGTGTTTTTCAGTTGATTTCGAGAAAAACATATTACTTCCTTAAGAAAAAACGAACAAATTTCAATATTCATTCTGTATTATCCCTCGTGGTAAAAAAAAGATTAATTGAATATCCTCATTCCATCCTACCGTTTCATTTCCGAATAGGAAATCAACGAAAGGTAATAATTGCATAAGAAGGTCACCAAAATTCTGACAAATGTATTCAGCTGATAAATTGAGAGCAAATATTTTCTTTGTTTTAGTAGCATGTTCAGCTAATTTGAATACTGCTTCGGGACAAGTTCGAAGAAAATATCCCTAGGAAAATATTTCATTGATATTATGATCTAATATTAAAATAAATCTAACCGGTACGTAGAAAATTTTTGCTCGCTCAACATACAACCAATTTTCTGATTTATTTAAATAATCGTTCGTAAATTTATTTGCTGCACCAAGATTTGTTATCATCGATCTAACTCACGAAAATAATGTGAGGAATACAATCAAATATTGGTATTATTTACCTAGCTTCTTCTGTTATTAAGATAAGACATGTTGCTGTAGGTGAATCAGAATCTTTTTGATATAAACAATTCGTCATTTGTTTCTCCAATATTTTACCACACTCATCTTTTCCAATACAACCCATGCAAACAGTAATATTAGCTCGCTCAAGGAACCACTATATAAATATAAAAAAGTCCTTCGGTTTATCGAAAAATTATTCTTACATTGATCGTTTTTAATGTATTTTGTGTTGAACCACCAGCAGAATAATTCAAATGATAATTTCCATTAGTAAAAATTTCTTTTAATCTGTATGAAAACGAGAAAAACATACATGATGATTGAATATAGAAAAATGACTACACTTGCATATCATCGTATTTTGACACGTTTTGTGCTAAAACCGCATTGTTCGCTTGCAAATTATATCTTGAAAATAAATGCAGAGTTTGCTCAAATAAATATCTATATTAATTTCATACTGTTACCGTTGCAGAAATTCATATGACACTTGTGTACTTATGTCTAATATTGGATGACCAAGTCCAAAAAATGTACCATCACTATTGAATTTGAATATAGAATGTAAGAGTAAGATCAATTTTTTTCGTCTAAAACTGACCTCAATTGTGTATTGACTATTGATATCATACTGGAAGCAAAAGCCAAAATTACTTGCTTACATAAAACCAGACTTTATCTTCTTTTTTATATTTTTCTTTCTTATCTTTCTTTCGTTCTTCGCATTATTTTCATACTCGAAGAAAAGAACTCAACGTAAATAACATACTGCACACGTGAGACTTTTTTGTTTATATAGTTATAGGCATAATATTTGATTTTGTTGAGACGAAGAAAAAATACAAAGCGTACTAATCTTTGTATGACACAAGCACAATACTAATAAACGGATGTGGGTGTAAGACAACACTAAAGAGAATCCCACACCCACATCTTAATCAATCGAATAGAACATTAATATCTCTTATACGCCAATAAATTTGATAAATTAATTGTTAAGACTTCTATCAGTTGAGTAAATAAAGTCATCTCTAATTATATTTGCATCTGATATTATTGTAAATTTCATTTACATCGACGTAAAGAATCAACTGGTTGGATTGTTATGTAGAAAGAAATTTCAATAAAAAAATGTTTTATATAAAAAGTATCATATGCTAAAACGAGCATCGTGTAAGTTTTATTATTATTTGAAATAATTTTAACGAACCAACATACTTAAATATTTAATAGATTTTTATTCAATCGTTTTGCTAAAAACAAACTTTGATAAAATGTAAAAAAACTTGAGAAAAATTCATTCCGTTAGATGCTCCTTCTCAACCCAATGTAAGATATTTCGAACAAAATCTCGAATGACATTTTGTTGATTAGAGATTTTTCTCGTCGTTGGGATCAGAGTCAATAGGATATTCGAAAGTTTTCAACCGAGATCAATACCTCTATCTTGACATAATGAGTATTTCAAACAATTGGGGTGTGGGTGTATATCTTGTTTTTGTATGCACTCACACTCGTTTGTCAATTAACAAGTGTGAATTCGTTTGAAGATAAGGATTTGTGTTTTTGATTCCATATTTTTTTTATCATTAAGCGCATCTTTGAATCACGAATGTATTTTTATGGAAAGAATTAAGTTATTTTCGGAATTATTATGTTAAATTTAAAGATAAACCTCTATTCATGTTGCATTTGTGTTAAGATGTTATCAGTATCATTTCACAATAATTTTCTTCTATCGTAACAAACAAGTTTTAAATTAAAAAATATCATTGGAATCGATGAATTATTGATCAATAGTGATAAGTTTTTATCATTAATTCATATCTATAAAAGTTTTTCTATTGAGATAAAGAAATTAGAATATCGACTTTTTTATTTCCAGGTAATTATGTCATTTTATCATATTATTGTAAAGTATCTGCAGATGAAAAAAAATTCCTGTAGATCCAGAGTAACATTATCTTAGTTGTTATCATGCATTTTGTTTCTCAAAATGTCCGAGAAAATATGCAAAATAATCTTGACACTAGTCAACACTCTTGAACCTATTCTTGATAATCATTGTTAAGTCTTTTGAATCTTCAAGTTCAGTCAAGATTCTTTTCTGACTTTGATGAATGTTATGTGATGTCTTCATATGTATATGTGTGAATATATCAACGTCTGTAAATTATGTATTCATTTATAAATGATAAAATGTGTTCAGCAAGATGAATGAGAACTCTCTTATGTACAAAGACTTTATAACAAAACATGATATCAACAAGGAAAGTCTATCAATTAAATCATCAACATTTTATCAAAAGAAAAAATATCAGAAATAAATGATAATTATTATAGTCATATAATCAGTGTAAGTTGAGATATAATAACTGATCAATAGAGAACTAGTTTTTGTATCTTTGAGAATTTCCTCAATTTTTTCTTTTCTAGCTGATCTTAAATTGCTCGAAATTTGAAACAATAATAAATTAACGAAGAACTAGATTCATGTGTTTATGTATTCCCAAGACTAAACTGAAATTACAAGAGATATATAAGAAACTCAGACAAAAAGTTCAAGAAGACAATAATCTTGACTGACGAAACTAATCTTATCTTATCATTCATGATTTTGTCTTCATAGATTTTGACAGAAATTCAAGAGCTATTTTTTTGTAGGCAACCATCTTTCACTGAACTGTATGGAAAAAGAATCTTAACCAAACGAGAAAATGTAGGTTTGAAGCTTTCTAAACTCTATGAATACTGAAGATGTTGAGGTGCCCATATATATATAGTTCAAATGTTAAAGTGCTGACCGTTAATCTTTAATTTTCTAGCAGACACCCGGTGTTAAAAGAAGGGAATGAGAGTTTGAGACCCTGAGTGCCTACAACATCTTTTCATTACCTCGCAATAAGATTTGATGCGCAGTTGCTACATTTACCCTCTCAATCTTGACTCGAAGAAATAGAAAAATGTGGAAGATAAAGGCAAGAATGTTGACTAGTGAAAAATAAGTTTCAATAACTTTTTTTGCAATATAATTCTAAACATAATATTTGTTTATTTTTGTTTAAAGTAAAATGCATTTTATTTTGTATAATAATTAATATGTTATTCTTCAAATATATATTTGGATAATTTGTTTGAGTATGATTATATATTTCATACGTAAAAAACAATTCAAATAAAATCTAGTTTTTCTTTCGACTATGATCAATAGAACACACTCATATGTTATATACAAAATATATTTTTACTGAAAAATACAAAAAAACGTCTCATCCTTTTCTTTAAAAGTGTTTTCAAATGAGACAATCTTTTTTATCCTGATTACGTTGAAGCACACGTTTTATCATAATGATAAGTTTATTGAAAATGATACGTTCACATACGTATTTATGTAGAAGGGTAGTGAGATAGTGTAGCATTTTCCCTTTTTGATTTATTTCAATATTCAATCAATTCTAATTTATTCTTAGAAAAAAAATACTCAAATCCGCAGACGAAATCTTGTCATTTCGATATGAACTCGACTATTAGGAAAACAGATTTGAACCATGGAATGATAAGGTTCGATTTTGTCACGATGAATTCGTCCATAAATGTCAAGGAAAACAAATTCTTTTAATTGATTAACTAATTGAGAAAGATCTTGTTGAAAGACAGCAATGTGTTCAACTACATAAAACGTACCGAATGATTGAGATGTTCGTAACGATTTTATTCAGCTTCTATTCAAAGCTGCATATAAATATCTTGTTTCATATTTTGACCGAACTTGAACGAAGCAAAATATTTCTTATAAAAAACATTTTTTCTTATTGAAACTATCCATAAACTTACTCAATGTCCAAACGAAAATCTTCCACACGCCAAAGACGCAATGATTGCAAATATGGTGTGTAACTAGTGAGAAGAGGTATGAGATTTTTACCGATAGGAGCTGATTTGTCTAAACCATAATTACAACTAGCAAGGCAAAATTCGATGTGTCGAACGGTGGTCAATGCACTTTTTCTTAGTTTATCGAATGTCTAAAAATAAGTATAAAAGTAAATTTAAAAATTGATAAACTAATAAACAAAATGTAGTTATTATTCGAACGTTGAACCAAAGTTGTATTTCTTTTTTTCATACGTTAATCATTATTTTAAAATAAGAAAGCTAGAAACGATTTTAATGTTATTTTTTTTAACTTCTCTTTTTCTTGTTTATGTTTGATCAATAAGTCTTTTTTTGTATAAAAAAAAAATTCAACAGGAAATCGCCTAGAAATCTATAGATAATGTTATTTTAAAATTCGTTAGTTGT